TGCTGCACTTTCTTATTCCAGTGTTTGAGCTGGCCGGCCTGTCGGCAGCATTCCCAAGTGGAGCAACAGTGTGCCTGCTGTGGTTGGTGTGCTGCTGCTAAAGTTGCTAATGATCCCCACAATGGAGTAGCAAAGACTGGAGCTGAGTCATTTCATTTACAGTAATCTTCAAAGTGTGAGAGTCAAGAGGGAGGCAAGGGTGAGAGCCAAGGGGGAAGGCCTGTCCCCAGACTGCTCTCTTTTCCCTCATGACAGTACAGCAGGGACATGCTGTGGATAGGTGTTCCTCTGCACATTGCCAGCCTATGAGTTTCCCTATATTTGTTCATGCTGGGATCCATGGTGTGTGTTTGTGTGTTGGTCTGTTGGTGTGTGAAACAAAGGCAAGGGTTGTGAAGTGACCGTTTCCCGCAACTGGCATGTGGATATGTGGTCGGCAAGCACGGTGGCAGCATTAAGGAGAAAGAGTGTTTTCCCGCTAAGATAAGGGAGAAAGGGGAAATGAAATGACAGTAGATCATTAGACTGGGATCGCCTGCAGCTTGCTAATTTATGCAAATTAATTTCTTGGCTGATGTGAGAGGGAGCGGGTGACACTGCTTGGCGAGCAGTCAACACCGAGTGGCGAGAAGGTTAAACTGCTGCACTCTGCTTTGGTGGTCTGCAAAGTTTAGCGGCGTAAGCCAGGGAGAGCTGTGGTATACCAAGCAACAATGACAAAGAAACGCACACTATGCCAGCCCTCTTCCTGGCAAGGCGGGTAGACAGGCAGCCAATCAGGTCCGTGCTGGTTCCCTTGTAGGCGAATGGCATGGCATGCTGGCCCTCTCGTCGCCCCGCCTCCCCTCCCCACTGCACTGCAGCTGCCCAGAATGATTTTATAAACATTTTGCCAGTGGATCAATACCTGTATTGATCATCCATTGTGAGAGTGATCCGTCTAAAACCCAGAGCAGCCTAGAGCTCAGAGATGGGAGGAGCGAAAGAGAGAGGCTGCAGAGAGGATGGAGAAAGAGAGAGAGTCTGCAGCCACAGTGAAAGGGAGAAGAGGTACAAGGGAAGAGAAGCGAATCTGAAAGAGAAGCAGACGCAGAGCTGAAGGCAGGTGGGGAGGCAGGTTTTCGGACAACGCTGCCAGGCCACTGGGACTGGGGAGAACCCTATGGTAATTGCGCTCTCATTAAGGGAGGGAGGGTGAGGGCGACTAATGACTGCTGCTTTAAGTATGCGGGTAAGTGACAGATGGAGATATAGTGCGAAGAAATGTGTATGTGTGCAAGAAAGGGGTTGCTTCCCCACACCTGAGGTTGCTAATGCCTGCACTAGTTTGGCCTGCTATGTAGCAAGTCAGGTACATTGTTGCATGTGCATAAGTGTGCATGATTGCATGAGGTTCAAAGGGAAGATGGGGGGCAAATGGTGGGTGATTCAGATGTTTTGCACACAAAAAAATATCTTGCTTTGCTTTTATATTTTGATTTTTTATGTTTTGTCTAGAAAAACAACTCCCTCTGAACAGAACTAGCTGGAGTGTCAGAGATCTGCAGTGTGCCTCGGTGACAACATGGGACAGAGAAGGCCTGAAACGTACTGTGCTCATAACCGGAAATTCCTGGGAAAATCAAACAGTGAAAGATGTAGCTTGCATCCTGGATACAAAGATTCATGGAGGAAGTAACGGGAACATTTCTGATCAAGGCAAAGTTGGATGTGTAATCCAACACTGATTTCAAGCTCCAAGATGGTGATGTAAACTGTGGCAAATAACAGGTTGTTGCAGTTTTGAAATGGTGGATAAAGCTAGCTTTGGGATGTTTTCTGACAGTTTGTTGGATTGGATTTAATTTTTATTATATTTTGTTGGAATTTTACTGACCAGACGACTGACTGGACCACTAAACAGCGATGAATGTTCGATTCAAGGCCCCAAGCTGCGCTGCGCTGGAGGAGGAGTAGTCAAAAGGCGTCTGGGATCCTCCCCCCAATGCTAAAGGGAAATCAAGTTTCCATTGATTGATTTTAAATGTGACTTCCATGTGCATAATTGTGGATTTGAGGGAAGATGTATTTCTCCAAACTGTGGGGGAGTACCTTGATGCTCATAAACCCACAATGCGCTGGAGCTCTAGTGTGGGAACACTGAGAATAAAAGGCCTAAAACCTACAGGTTCAATCTCCTGTGAACATGTAGTTGATTTAAAAGAATGAACATTCTGTGCCAAGGACAAGAAGCGCCCACATACAGTTTTGTTAAATAAACTATGAAACAAATTAAATATTATTGTGTGGTACACAATGCTCATGGCTCTAAGTGCGTGTGGCAGTATATATCCTTGGCTGTGTCCCAGTTCCACATTGTACACGAATACAATGAGAATGCACTGTATATGTGGAGGAGAATACTGTTGTGACAGTTGTTATACAAGAAACTAATGACAGGAAATGATGCAAGATGGTCACCAATAGACCTCAATTACACTGTGGAACCCGACTGACATTTTCAAATTAGGAGAAAATAACATGAATGCACAATGTTTTCCAAAGACTTAATTAATTTATTCTCTCTCACCACCATCCACACACCACACTGCCAAAATCTGCCAAATTTGGAATGTATCATCTATGAATGTATGCTCTATTTACACATTTCATCACTTTTCCAAAATAAACATTCAAATAAATTGTAAATTAATAGAAATTGTGAAATTGGGACACAGCACTTGAGTGTCATGTTCTCGTACTTTACTTGAGCTAAACTCTTTAGACAAATGTAGCTCAGGTACAGTACAAGTAATGGTGATCAGGGAGACTCGAATGTTTTTTAAGTGTAGAGAGGAAGATAAACATCACAGTACAAGCTTGCCTTCATTAAAGTTAAGTTAAATATACACAGCACATAGATAATGAGTTCAGTGCAGCAACAGTAATTTTTCTCAATGCCAGAATAGGTGTTGGCATTGTACTGCAAACCATGTCACATTTGTATGTTTTATATGTTAAGTTTGTACATTATATAGGTAATATACACTGTATGTTACATCTGTAGGGGATACGTTAAAACTTTAGGTTGTTTGGTGGCCGACATGTTGTTAAAACTAATTGCTTTTGTTGTTTGTTAGTCTCAAACAGTGGTCTGCTGCAGTCTGCTGTTTGGCAGCCATCTTGCTTAGCTGAACTATGTCACTGTAGAATTGTTAATATGATACATATGAAACATACAAATGTAACAAATTAATGGTTTGCAGTACAATACCAATATTTTATTGTGGTGACTAGGCTGTTTTTCTCATTATCACTGACTGGTAATCTATGTTGAGTTTATCAGTTGCAGAAGGATAAATAGAGTTCACAGACAGAAAAAAAATATGAGAAAAGCCAGTGGTCACAGGTCTGACATCAGATTCAGATTTATGAAACAACCAAATCAGATGTGGGTAAATATTCACCATTGTGCACATTTATTAAAGACAAACCTTTATACTCTAAACATGCTGATGGAGTTTGAAGCTCCCAGTTAGCTGCATGAAAATGTGTCTCAACTGTGAAAGGAGGGACTAGAACTGTTCATTTTCTTAACAGAAACCAAGTGGCAATACAATTAATGCTTATGAACAGCACTACCTGCAATACCTACGCTGTGCTAAACCAGTTTGTGCTTTGGATAAACCCAGCTGAAGTCTTGCAAATTCAAGCCAATGGCTCACAGTGTAACATAATGTAAATGCTAAATATGGCTGCCAGTCCTCTCAGCCATGCTCTTGTTTGTTTTGAGCTGATATCTTGACTTGAGTGTGATTATTATTTACAGCCAGTATATGTGGATATATCAAAGATATCAAGAAATAAGTCATTTTTTTCCCCATTAGGACAAATAACCAAAGTGCTGCATAGCTTTAAACACTCAACGGTTCGTGCTAATATTGGTGCCTTACCATTGTCTACATCAGTTTAATTTCAGCGAGATAAACACTCTTAACTGTTATCACCTTACACAAAGAGTTAATTCATGTGCTATCAAAGCAGCGCTGAGACACTGAATCATTTCCTTGTTTCCTTTCATCGTTTTTGTTTGATTCCTACTCTCAAAAACAAACCCTTGGATGAGTGCCAAGCCATAAATTAGGATCTTCATTAGACACATCAAATCTAAATTACTATTCAATTAACAGGCCAGTCAACCTGAACTAATCAACCAATTAGGCCGTGTGTGTTCACAGAAAAGCTAACAAAAGCACACGAGTCCCCTGGGAAAGCAGTAAAACACTGCAGAAGAGTGACAGTGCAAATGAGAAGCCACTGGTTCAGGAGAGAAAAGGGAGGATCAGAGAGTGGCAGAGGAGAAAACGTGACTCTGAGATCACATCACTATTCACCCCCTGTCAGTTTTTGGGAAATGAAACTTCAAGTTACAAGAAATAATTAAAACTGAGACAAAGAAAAGGGCAAAACAAAAGAATTTATAAGAGCTTTGATCAATTTGCATTGTAAATGGGTATACTGTTTTCAGGTTAATGTTTGTGACCAATCTTTTTATGCTAATGGGTTTTGATTGAAAGGCGTATAATTCCTCTGATCATAACTCATATTGTGTGAAAGCATCTGCTGGCACTGTTGCAAACTGAATAAACACTGGCCGGGCTCACCACTAATAAAGCTAAACAGGTTGTTGAGCTTAATTCTATTAAGGAAACTGTATCAAACCAGGTAATTAAAATCTTTGATTATGATGAAATGGCACAAAATGTAAATTTTGTTTTTATACATGATATTTTCTGCAGATCAGACAGAATATGAGCAGTGACTGTACTGCTTGAGTTTCTTTGTGCAGGATAGAAATTCGCATTTACCAGCTCTGAATGAAGACTACTTTGAAATCTTGTCACATAATGTTGTCTGCAGTTTATGGCACTCATCTTTGGTGAGTGCTGTGGCAGAGTGAAAGGCTTTGTGATGCCCCATTCAGTGAGGCAGGGCTGCTGGGACGTCTGTGCTGAACATACCTTTGGGCCACAGGAGATCTGGTAGGCAGCACAGGCTGATCAAACGTGTTCTTTACACAGACCAGAATGCAACCTAAGAGGGAAACAAAGACACACACGTTACATATAGACACTTATATACATACAGAGTAAAGCTGGACTGACGCTGGATTATTCTTTACGCTGTTACTGATATTTGGGAGTTTAAAAAATATCATTTAAAAAAACCAGAAACAAACAAACTCAATATAAATCCCTTAGATGTGTTTTTTTTCTTGTTGTGACCGAGACACAGTCAGAGCGGGGACATCTCTCCCCCTTACCACCCTCACATCTAAAGGTCTGGGATCTGATGGCGCTCCAGTACAGGCCAAAGGGGGTTGTAAAGAGGAGAACACCATTATTGTACTAGTAAATGTCAGAACAACCCCGTCTAATTGTGCCATTACTAATTCATGTTTATTAATGCAGTGATGTATGATGGCTCCACAGACAGACTGAGCTTGTCTGTGCCTGTCATGTATGGCTTATTCTTTGCCAGTGAGGGCTGCAGGGAGCGTGTTAGGAACCGGGTGGTGGATGCGGTGGGTGTGGGGCATATGGTGCACGTAGTGACAGTGCCAAGTGGTGTGTGACTTTAACATGAAGGCAGAGGGGGTGAGGGAGTTGACTGATGGTGCCGGTGTCTTCTGCTGGCCGGGTGCCAGGGCCCTTGGTCCCCTGTGCCCCAGCCCCTCACTACCCCAGAGCCTCTGGGCAAGTACCACAGTTATTGTTTTCACTGCCAAGCAATTAGCGGCACTTAAGATTTATTTAGTCATGCTCTAATGTGTGGTAATTAGCTTGGGGCCCAAACAAGCCCCTTCATCCCATCACCTTGTCGCTCGCATCAGCGCAATGCATCAGCAGGAGACAGTGAGGGAATGTGAGAGAGGAAGCAGGAGGTACAGAGGGTGGGGATCGTGTCGGGGGGAGGTGGAGCACAGCTAGAAGGATTACAAGAGCACCAGTCCAGCTCTGTGGATCAGCACTTTTTAAGAGATCTTCAGGGGCCTGTTGGCTGAACGTATAGCAGGAGGAAAGGGCAAATACAGCCCAGTTACACTTTTATAGAATGCTTTGTGGAAAAACACCCCTGACACACACCTCGGTCTGGCAGCTCGGTTTGTCATATGGCCCAGGGGGCTCCGCTGGCCTATCACATGACCATTGTAATGACCTTAAAGGGCAGCCTCCTCAACAAGCTCAGGCCACTCCCACTGGCTGGACTGCTCTTTGGGAAATGCAGTTTGGGTCACTGCATAATGAGTGATGCACCCTACGGCTGGAATAAAAAAAAGAAAAAGAAAAAAAACACCATGTATAAACGAGGCCAAAGAGATTATGCAAAAGCTGCCAAGAAGGGTAAAACAAAACCAAAAAATGTCAGCCAAATGCTGGTATATCTACTGTTCTTGTTTCATAACGCTTTTGGGAATTAACATAATAAAACACATGATATGAATTTTCAGATTACATCACAAATTTGTTGTAGGTGTCACCTCTATTAAGAGATAGAAGCTGCGCAATAATAGATTTATTTTTTGTTAATGCGTTATGGTTTAAGCCAGTGCTTTGGTAATATGATTGTATGCATCCTCTAGGCTGTGTGCACTCACAAACCGGGCTCTATGGTCGATCTCACATGTGTCAGCTATAGTTTGGTCCTCAGTACATTCACATACCAGCTAGTGGTGATTCTCTAACCACTGTGGTTAAGACATGAATTAAATATAACATTCAATGAACAACACCAGGCTATACAGAAGGCTGGAGGCAAACAATCATCTACTCCACCTTAGTGACATCCCCCCACATCTCCATTGAAGCACGTACAAAATAAAGAACGACTGCACTTTTTGAATATGAATATACGCAGTCTTGAGAACTGAGGAGTATCAGTGCGTAGAGTGTTATAACTTACAGCTTCTACTTCAGCAAGAAATACTTTCCTTTTTAAAACACAATGCAGAGTGCTGCAGCAGAAGCTCACTGAATACATGTGAGCAGATGAAGGTCAAAGGCAGGTTCAACTGCATATGCACATCTTATACATATTCATAAACAAAACCCATCAATCTTTGCTGGTTGGAGGGGGTGGGAGAACATTTGAAAAACTACATATTAAAAACAGCATGTGGGAAACTATACAGCACATGCCTTTGATCATTAAAAAACACAGCAAAAAAAAAAAAACTGCTGATGCAGGAAATCAGAGTAGCCATTTTTGTGTTTAGTGTTTGACTGGTGGATGCACTCTAATCATTTCAGCACTGGGCCTCCTCATGGAACTATCACCTAAAATTGCTATGCAGTCTAGAAGGGTGGTGCTATAAATGAAATATCACTTTCCATTTTATCTCCAGGGGCAGCATGATGCTCCGAACCAATCAAAATCTCACAAGCCAACCCTTGACCTTTTTCATCTCAATATGACTACCATTATCTTGCAGAAAATTAGAAGCGTCTCGCTATTGTTCAGTAGCGACAGGGGGTGGAGGTTATTTAAAGATAAATGCTCCAGTGTTCATGATACATGTGGCAATCACACACCACCAACACGGAGCAGAGGGGAAACATGTCTGCTAACGCCGTGTGGCTGCATGAGCGCACATGCGCGCATATGAGGTCATGTGTAAATGGATTCGTGTTGATTGTCCGGTGCTGATGTAGTTACGTGTTCGCCTAGTAAACCTGTCTGACGGTGTTGGGCAAGCAGGTTTCAGTGAATGCTTTAGCATTATTATGTGAGTAGTAAAATGAACTGGTTTAATGCACTATTTACAGCCTAAATTTTGAAAGGGAAGCCACATGATTATACAGCCTTGATTTCAGCGGTCTCCATAGGCAACTGGATCCCTGCTGGCTGTCTTATAAACATGAGTAGTGAGAGGGATAATATCCTCCTGGTAACAAAGCCATTAGGTGACGAATGTGAATAGAGCTGATGTAGGACTGAAATGACATGACAACGTGATGCTGTGGGTGTGAAAACTAGCTGAGCATCCGTTAGCCTTTTAGCACACTCTCTCACAGAGGTACGCACACAGCACTCATACAAGTCACACACACATATGACAAAGATACTTGGGAACACTGCTCGGTTCAAGAAGCTATTTCATCTCTTTCATGTGCCAGTCTAAGCAATATTTTTGAGAATGAAGGATATATTTAAATGTTGAAACCCAAGAAGCTTTAATCGGGTTTATATGTTTAGATGATAGCAGGGACATTCACTCAAAACAAAGTTACAGCTGTATTTTAATAGGTAAAAAATCACAATCAAAATACTCACTCCAGCATTTTTTTAAAACAAGCTTTCAGTGGCTGACATTTTTGTCTTTCAGCCTATCCCTAAAATAATTTATTTACTGGTTAAATATGAGCATGAATATCCAAATAAAATTAATTTTAACAAAAGCTTTGCTGACAATCCTGTATATTCTGTGGCAGGCACATTGTCCTTGTTCTCACATAGATCGAACCTGAGCAGTAGGTACAACTACAGAAAATCTTCTAACTTTCTTGGCTACTCTTAAAAGTACTAAATCATCAAAAGTTTATAAAAATGTTCAGAAAAAAAGCTAAAATATTTAAGCATATAAAGAAATAACCTTGGAGCACAAATCCTCTGTAAACTGTTGCACTGAAGCAACTGTTTGACAAACGCATTGGGTTAGAAATGATATATATTTAAATATATTTAAAACATGCTGCACTGGACTTCTAGTATTTAAAAAATATCTCAGATATTTTGTTCTGATTGTCTATTGTTTTGGGTTTAAATCTGAAATCATGAGAGAAAGCCTGTCACTATTTATTCTCATAATCAGAGCAATATAATCAGGACAGAAGACAGTGTCAGAAACCACGATACCAATTTCTGTGGTCCTCTCATATTTTGGTAGTTTTCGCTGCCCTAACAATGGCAGGATGAATATTAAACAATATGTTAAATGTGCACTGTTAGGGGCAAGAATAAAAAGGACCATGAATTTGCAGTGGTTCTGCTGAAGGACTTGCAAATGTCATAAAACAGCAGGAAATCAGCAGTTCTATCCAACATATGTCAATAGCAGGATATGCTTCCTAAATAAATGAATATATAATATTTTTGTTCTTTTTCCACTTCCAACATTAGTTATTATCTATTATGATGCATGCATAATGTTACAGAGGGTCACAGGATAGTTCTGCTTTAAATGTTATATTTCCATGATTGGTTCATTCTCTCCATTTCCTGTTCATTGTGTGCCAGCAAACTCCATTGTCTGTGGGTAGGTTCTGCTCGGCCCTCAGAAGGGCCATCCCTAGGGAGCACTGCATCTTTTATTAATCAGGGGCGCTGCGCCACAGCCCCGCTTATCTAATTTAGCAGCCCGCCTCAGATACAACTACGTTGGGCTTGGTGTGGAGAGAAGGGACAGGGGTGTGGGGGTGCAGTTGGGTGTAGATAGGATGGGGGTTGGGGTGCCTTCCTTCGGTTTTTCCATATTGTGGGTGATGCAGGGTGGGGCGGGGGGGCTGTGAGGGAGCGGGGGGAGACAGAAGGGAGGTAGCGACTTATGAGACACCTCGTCACCAAGTTTTAGGACTGAATCACAATACAGCAAATTACCTTCTGCTGACAAGAAAAAAAATGAGCATGGCCCCCATATGAAAAAAATAGGATTGTCAGGAAGAGGTGACACATTGATTGCTTAGTATGCGCATCCAGAAGGCTGGGGTTCAGCGGCGTCCTCCCTATATATATGTAGAAGAGGTGCAGCAGTGCACAGCACAGCCATGAGGGGGAATGAGAAATTGAAATGCCATGTTAGATTGGAGTCCTTTCCTCAAGCCAATCTCTCCAGTCTAGCCCATTCTAGCCCATATTAGACCACCATATCATAGTACGTGTGTGTTGTGGCGAACGTCCATGTTTCTATACATACCATCCACTACTGAAGAGAAAACAGTTTGGCGTTCACTAACATTACATTGTGCTGGAGGGTATACAGTATCTGTTGTACTGATTTTAAAAACAAAACATAAAGGCCCGGTGACACAAACAAA